TATTGGCCAAACACAGCGACTGCTAAGGGCCGAAGACAGTGACCACTATTGGCCGAAGACAGTGACCGCTATTGGCCGATGACAGTGACCGCTATTGGCCGATGATAGTGACCACTAAGGGCCGAAGATAGTGACCACTAAGGGCCGAAGATAGTGACCACTAAGGGCCGAAGATAGTGACCGCTATTGACCGAAGACTGTGATCGCTATTGACCGAACGCTGTGACCGCCATTGGCCAAAGATAGTGACCGCTATTGGCCGAAGACAGTGACCGCTATTGGCCGATGACAGTGACCACTAAGGGCCGAAGATAGTGACCGCTATTGACCGAAGGCTATGACCGCTATTAGCCGAAGACAGTGACCGTTATTGGCCGAAGACAGTGACCGCTATTGGCCAATGACAGTGGCCACTATTTGTCAAACACAGTGACCGCTAATGGCCAAATATAGTAACCACCATTGGTCGAAAACAGTAACCGATCATATTTGTCACCATTTTTTGCCAACAGCGGTCACTGCCTATCACTGCATAGGAACGTCAGCGAACTTACTCAGTCATAAAGATCAAAACACGCAGTACCTTCTTTTCTCGAACACACAATACTGTGCCTTCCAATGTAGTACACAGTCCACAGTAAAGTTAGAACCTACCATGAAGGAAAGTCGGATGGCGACTTATTTATTACTCCCTGCTAAGGCCTCAAAACGATTTGACCCCTATCTGATGAGTGAAAGCCTAGCTTTCTCCACAAAATCGAGTACGCACCCAAACCTATCCTCGAATTTTACCCCGATGTTAATATCCAAACTTTTCGATATCCCATTTTAATATCAAAAGTCCTCCAAACATCGCGACAGAAAAATACTGTCAAAACTGTCAAAATCACGCTCGCGTATTTCGGTTCGTTCGAAAAATGCCAAATGGCACACAAAGGCACTCTGTTTATTCCACTGTTAAATAGCAAGATGGAGAACGCACTGCGGCGAAACGCATTGCTAAATACCTTGGCCTGTGCGACTTTCCAACATGAAATTCGAAGCAGCACGAGCGCCGAAAAATGCCAAATGGCACTATTGTGTTTTGATCATTGCCGAGACCAGGGACGCACTGCGGCAGAGTTTCAATGCGCTATTAATTACTCACCTTGGCTTTATGCGACGGATTTTCTGCACGTACGAGGAAATCTCAACAGCGAGATGGCACTGCGTGTCACTTAACACCCTATATTACGATTTAATAATAGAGAATCGTTGCAGAGGAGTATAAATTCGGCTGGTAGAGATGTATATTTATTTCGTTTACGATAAAATTACGCAAGCTAAAGTTTATGCGACTTATTAACTACGATTTTATTCGTCGAGGATGACGAAAGTAATTTATAATGGGGTGGTTCGATAAACGGGTAAATAATTAGACTGATTTCGATATAATTGAGCTAGCCTATTCCTGATTCGATTTTAGGGAGAATCCTGGTTTAGACAGGGACAAAACTTGATTCTTTCATTGTGTTTTAATTAATAGTAGATCCCTAGAATATATTTCCAAATTTTCAATGTAGTCCTCGAAATATTAAGGGCTTCACAACGAGTATAAATGCGTTCTTCTCGAAACCACTTTGCTCAAATTGGCAGGAAAGATATCTCAAAAACTAGGTTACCAATTCATTTAAAATTTAACATACACATAATACGATACATGTACTAGTCGATGAATCTATAAATTAAACAAAATAATTAATTTAAACAACCTTTTCATACATAAATATTCGAAACTTTTGCGAAGATATCGATTTTATCGTCAAAGTTGTCTCATTTTTAAAATTCTCAACTTTCCATATATTTAAAGCTTCATCGACCACTTTCATAAAGAGTACGAGAATTGTTTGTATTCCTGTTTTGATCAAATAGGGGATGATCTACAGCTCGAGCCAATTACAGATCTCGCTATCGAGGCTGTTACAAAACAAATACACTGTGATAATTCCAAATTGCGACGTATTTTAAAATTCCACAAAAATTTCTTTTCATACTTTAACCCTTTGCGCTCGACGATTTTTTGGCTAAAGAAGGGTACGAGTTGAAGAATATTTTCTCAGCACAGAGTAAGAAATCATATAATAATTAACACGTAGAATTATTTAATTTCGATACCTCGCACACTGTCACATTATTTCAAATTTGATATATTAATTAATATCGAGCTTCGAAATTTTATCAAATGGCGACTGAAGGGCGTATCTCGAGTGCAAAGGGTTAATAGTTATTTAATAAGCCTAATTCTAATAATTCTCAGAATGATCGAGTAAACACTTTCTTCGAAGAAAATTCCCGAATATACCAGGACCCCCTTCAACCTCTTGGGATGAAGAAGAAGGAAGAATACGGAAGCGGAACCAGAAAAATTTCCTTTGTCTCCGTTAGAATTTCCCTTTTCGAATTCTTTTGTCCCCGGCCAGAATTTTACATCGCCTGACTCCGATTTTCCGCACGAGTTTCCCCGCGACTCGACAGCAAGAATCCGCGATAGCGTTTGAAACTTTCATCGAGCACGATCAAAGGAATTCGACCTCGATCGGTGTAACGACTAGCACGACGTTGATTCCGAGGAATAAAAGAGACACGGTCGTTATTAATTTGTCTGGACCGCGAAGAAGACAACGTCGGTGGCCGAAGGGGACGCGGAGGCGAGCTTCCGCCGGAAGTCGCAGCGAAGTTGACTGGTTCACGTGGCGGGGAACAAACGACCGGTTAATTATTCGGAGAATGGGATCAAGAGACGAGAGGAAGAAGGGAAATTCAGCGAGCGAGAGAGAGAGAGAGAGAGAGAGAGAGAGAGAAACGTGAAAGACTGCGAGATTCTTCAGAGACGTTGAAAAATGGAGGAAAGTCAGAATGTAAAAAGTGGAGTGAAGATTGTGGTAATGGTTACATAGATTTTTAAATATATATGTGATGATATTGTTACGAGATCATATCCACCCGGTATTCGGCCAGGAAGAGTGGATCGTAACTTCAGAGTAGAACAATCCAGCATCTCACAGAATGTTCGGTTTAAATAACAATCGGCTGTTGACTATAAAAGGAACATCTTCCAGCGAAGTTCAGAGAGTGCTGTCACCCTTTTCAGTAGGGAAAATTTATTCTGACGTTTTAGAATTCTTCGGCAATCCAGTGATTGAAATTGAAGAATAAGAATTACACTCGCGATTTGTAACAATATAATACAGGAGCGATGTATGTAAGAAAGGGATGAGTGGAACAAGTATGCATGGGCTGGCAGTATCTAATAAATTCAGGTTATCGTGATAAATGAGCATACGTGTAATGATTGAGGTGTGTGTGAATTGTGTATTGAGATTAGGCATAGGTCAGTTGTAATTTAGTTGTAATAGCGAAAATAGGTGTAAGCATGTGATTGCGAGAAATTAATTAGATTTATACTCGATATTTGTGTCTGATCATTCTTTTGCAATTAAATAAAGAATTGTCCTTATTGTTATCGATATTTCATCCACCACTAACATAAAAATGAAAGATACGATTGGTAAAAATTTGTGATATATCTAGGTGAACATTTTTGTTACTGACTGTAAATATAAATTTAGAATTCTTCTATGAATATAATTTAAGAAATAGGAAAAATTATGGAATAAAATGTGATAATGGTTAATACAGATTTTGAATATATATGTGTTGATATAATAAAGGAGCGATGTATGTAAGAAAGGGATGAGTGGAACAAGTATGCATGGGCTGGCAGTATCTAATAAATTCAGGTTATCGTGATAAATGAGCATACGTGTAATGATTGAGGTGTGTGTGAATTGTGTATTGAGATTAGGCATAGGTCAGTTGTAATTTAGTTGTAATAGCGAAAATAGGTGTAAGCATGTGATTGCGAGAAATTAATTAGATTTATACTCAATATTTGTGTCTATGTGAGCATGTGATTGCTAGAAATTAATTAGATTTATACATACAATATAATATTTATGTTTGATCATTTTTTTCTAATTAAATAAAGAATTGTTCTTATTGTTACTGATATTTCATCCACCACTAACATAACTTTCCTGATATCGAGTACTATGTATACTATGAAGATATTCGAAGATGTGCCCTGGCAGATATTTTTTAGAATGATTTTATATAAGCAATATGACAGAAATTTATTTGTAAAATGAAAAATTAAAAACAAGATGTCTGGGGCCCAGCAGTTAACTTTCGTCCAACCTGTGGTAATGATTAACCTAGATTTTGAATATATATATATGTTGATATAATAAAGGAGTGATGTATGTAAGAAAGGGATAAGTGGAACAAGTATGCATGGGCTGGCAGTATTTAATGATTCAGATTATCGTAATAAATGAATATATGTGTAATAATTGAGGTGTTGTGTGAATTGTGTATAATTGTGTATGTTCATGTAATATATGAAAGTGGAAAGAACAATACAGAGAGACTGGGCATAGGTCAGTTGTAATTTAGTTGTAATAGTGAAAATATGTGTGAGCATGTGACGTGGTCAATGACGTGATTTACAAGTGACGGATTTACAAGTCCGTCCGTTCCCTTGGTGAGTCTGTCGCACGTGGATCCAAACTGTCAAGTTTGGTACTAGTAAATTTTCTGAATTTTCAGATTTACATATATAATATGACATAATCCTCTGGGAGGGCAGGCTGAGAAGGCACGCCTAACCTCCGATGTAATAATCGTAACACAAAATAATAAAGTCTTTAGAATTATCGAAAATTAAAGTAAGAGTTATGCTATGAACACGTTCTTCGGGGTGGAAGAGTTCGGTTGAAATTACTTCTCCACCCCCCTGGGAATAGCAAAAATCACGAGTGGAATAAATTATTTTAAATTTAACTTTACAATGATAATAATAGGATGCATTAAATTCTGTTATTGATGAATTATTATGCGCGTTAAATCACGGGTCGGTTATGTTTGTTGGTATAATTAGAGCGGATGAGAGGGATGCTTACCTGTAAAAGTACGAACAACCCCTGACGCTGTTGTGAGAGAAGTGCTCGGCGTTCTTCTCGTTGCCAAAGTCCTCCAGGGGATCCGACCAGAGCAGATCGCACATCGGCCCGTACGCTGGTGGCTCTTTGAACCTGTCCAACTGCGAACAGCAAAGTCAACATCGATGGAATTAGTCGTAGGAACGGTCCATGACGCACGGGCATAGATAGGGCGCGTGTAAACGCGGCGTGTGCCTAATTATCTAAACGCTGCATGCGGCAGGACTCGTTGCTGCGAGCTTCTAATTAACGGGCTTGTGTTTTCGCGTCGACGCGCTCGTACGAAAATCATTTCTGATTACACCGGGGAAGCAGTGGATTCAACATCCGCTCGCGAGGACGATTAATAAAGAGAAGACTCCGGATTTCGTAGGGAAGAGAGTCAGGGATGTACGAAATATTTTTGTGCAAATATTTATAATTTTTGCGTAGTCCGCGAAATTAAAAAATTCGCGATATTTTTAATGGAAAATTGTCGATCTTGGAAGGATCGTGATTATGTGGAAAAATTCGTATTTTAACCCTTCGGATCTCGTAGAAAAGCTAGTCAGGGATGTACGAAATATTTTTGTGTAAATATTTATAATTTTTGCGTAGTCCGCGAAATTAAAAAATTCGCGACATTTTTAATGGAAAATTGTCGATCTTGGAAGGATCGTGATTATGTGGAAAAATTCGTATTTTAACCCTTCGGATCTCGTAGCAAAGCTAATCAGGGATGTACGAAATATTTATAATTTTTGCGTAGTCCGCGAAATTAAAAAATTCGCGATACTTTTAATGGAAAATTGTCGATCTTGGAAGGATCGTGATTATGTGGAAAAATTCGTATTTTAACCCTTCGGATCTCGTAGAAAAGCTAGTCAGGGATGTACGAAATATTTTTGTGCAAATATTTATAATTTTTGCGTAGTCCGTGAAATTAAAAAATTCGCGATATTTTTAATGGAAAATTGTCGAGCTTGGAAGGATCGTGATTATGTGGAAAAATTCGTATTTTAAACCTTCGGATTTCGTAGAAAAGCTAGTCAGGGATGTACGAAATATTTTTGAGACAATATTTACAATTTTTGCGTAGTCTGCGAAATTTTTAGTGGAGTATTGCCAATCTTGGAAATATTATGATTATGAGAAAAAATGCATATTTTCGCATTTAGAATTCGCAGTGATACTAGAAACTTCTTTCTCAAAAAATCTACATTTCTCTGCAGTCCGCGAAATTGAAAAATTGCCAAATTTTTACTGAAAAATCGTCAGTTTTCGAGTAGCCGTAGGTTCCTTAAAAGAAATCGTACAACCACCCACCTACACTGATTTAAAAGAGCAAACCTTCAACTTTCGCACCCCCATACTGAATTTATTAAAATAATTTTCTATTTCTCCCCATGGGGTAGAAAACCGGAGGTACCTTTCTCAAAGCAATTTCATCAACTCGAACTACCCTGTGGACCATGAAAAATTTGTATCCCCATTCGTTTTGCAGCTAATTCATAACCGGAAGTCTCCTCTATCAAACGACCGCCTAAAAATTCCCATACGATTTTTCCTCGCCACTTCGTCACACGAGACAAAATTCCCGGGCTATAAATTTGACTGAGCCATTTGTATAATCTCGCCTACGAAGTGTGCCTTAATAAAATATACCAAAGTAATAAATAACGATAAATAATGTCCATAATTTCACCTAAAGAATATTCTATCTTCTCAAGCTCTTCGAGTAACAACCCTACAGTACCTTCTGTTCCCATGGCATCGGCAGATGAGAACCACTGATTCGAGCAGCGTCGCGTGTTACTTAATTGCGCGTTACTTCATTTACCCGTGATCTAGGATTCGTTAAGAATTCCAGCGAAGAAAGGAGGGAAGGAGGCAAAGAAGACGAGGAGGAAGAGTGGTTTACACTCTCTCGATGGAGAAACTAGGTAGACGAGCCACTTATTTACTCGGTGGACACACACACACACACACACACACACGCGCGCGCGCGCGCGGACACACACACACACGGACACACACATGGACACACATGGACACACACACACACACACACGCGCGCGCACACACACACACACACACACACACACACACACACACACACACACACACACACACACACACACACACACACGCACGCACACACGGACACGCAGAAACACACACAAGCAGAGGGCAGATTCGCTTCTCGAGTGGTGTTTCCGCGTCATAAAGCATTCACGAACTCTGGCCTAGATTTATTCCGGGCCTGTGTCGAACCGCTCGACGGAATCAAAGAAAAATCAGAGGAATTCCGGCCAGGAACTTTTACCCTCTCCCGTTCGAGTGGATGTCGAAAGGACCGCGCAAAGACACATCTCGACCAGGAAGGAACAAAAACTTTAAATATTTGAACGGCCACGGTCGATCGCGCGTCCCTCTAACTCCATTTTCCCAGTTTCGTCTATGAAACGCGAGCTTCCTGTTACATTCCAGCGCTCCTTTGTCATCGGGGGTAAATACGAAAAAAGGAAATTTCTCGAGAAAATTCCGATTGAAGAAATGTTCGTTAATCGAAGCATTCGATTCCTTTGTGATATATTGTGAGAACGAAGTAAATTCGACGTATAAATGTAGTCGACTTTTGTGATGGTGCTAGATTGCGAATAATTTTTGAAATATCACGAAGAATTTTTAATTTTTCGAAACTGCAGGAAATTATTTTAACAGTGACTTCTGTTAACAAAGGAAAAATAAAATAAAGAAACGAGTATAATAATTGTGCAAAAATTAAATCCAATTTCTAAATCTGAAATAGTGGAAATATTCGAAATTTTTCGGAAGTCGTCTGGATATAAAATAAATTATAATCGAGGCAAAATAAATTCAACGATTAATTTCACAGAAGTTAAACATGGAGACGAATCTAATCAGTACAGAAAAATTAGTTCCAATTTATGAATCTAAAATATAAAGTACTCCAAGAAATACCAAAATTTTCGAAATTTTTCTTTAGGCATAAAATAAATTTATAGATAAATTACACAGAAACAAAAAATGGGCTTAATTTTAATCAGTACGTGAAAATTAGGTCTAATTTTTAAATCTTAAATACAAAATACTCCAGAAAATGGCAGAATATTCCAAATTTCCCAAATATGTCACATAGACATAACAGAAATTTAAAGATAAATCCCACAGAAACGAAAAATAGACACTATTTTAATCAATACCCAAAAACTAGCTCTAATTTTGAAATATAAAATATAAAACACTCCAGAAAATAGCAGAATATTCGAAATTTCCTACTAATTATATAGATATAAAATAAATTCAACGATAAATTCCACAGAAACGAAAAATAGACACTAGTTTAATCAATGCTCAAAAAATAGGTCCAATTTTGAGATCTAAAATAATTGAAATCTATTATAAAACACTCCAGAAAATGGCAGAATATTCGAAATTTCCAATATATCATATAGACGTAAAATAAATTTAAAAATAAATTCCACAGAAACGAAAAATAAGTTGAAATTTAATCAGTACCCAAAAACTAGATCTAATTTTAAAATCTAAAATACAAAACACTCCAGAAAATGTTAAACATTCGAAATGTCCCATATATCATATACACATAAAAGAAATTCTACGATAAATTCCACAGAAACGAAAAATAGGCTCAAATTTAACTAGTACTCAAAAACTAGGTCTAATTTTAAAATCTAAAATACAAAACACTCCAGAAAATGGCAGAATATTCGAAATTTCCCAAAAGTAGTATCGGCGCAAACTAAACTACACACGGAACGGATTTAATCAATTCAATCGACACGAAATAAACTTAACGAGTCGCAGGGAAATGAAAAAATAAATACCGTTGGCAAAGAAATCGCGTTGGTCGGAAACGCGAAAGCGGAAGTGGTCGTGGGTGTTCACGGCGTGGAAACGTTCCCAATAATTACCCGCTCGTAATTACCCAACTACAAGAGCTGACTTAACGTTGACGTATCGACGTTGTCTCTCTGTTTATCGTGCAACGGAGACCCAGTCGTGGACTACAAGTTTTGATCATAATGGGTAACGCTAATTATGTTGAATGACATTAGTTCCTGGTGCACAGTGGCTGCCTGTGTGCGCCGCGCACACACGCGCGCGCCTCTCTCTTCTACGCAGGCATGCACGTACACGCGTGTACACGCACACCGGTACACGTACGAAGGAAACGGGAATGCAGTTTACAGTGTAACGAGCAGTTCGCACCTAATAATAGCAGACGTAATATCACTGGTATTATTGCCCTTGCCAAAGTAGCTGCGTCGTTCGCGCCACTAAACCGCGTTAACTTTGAAACGATCGAATTCAAGGATCAACTTGACTGCGATCCAGCGATATCGCTGGGAATTCAAGCTTCCAGAGCTTCTAGAAACCTATTCCTCGGGAAAGTGGCAGTCGTGCGGAAAATAGTAGGTCTTTCAAGCTGCTGAATATTCTTAAGCAATATTTTATTTTTATTTATTCGCATTTTAAATGTAATTAAATTTAGTTGGGAGATGATTTTAATTTTTATTAAAAAATTGTTGATGAGAAAGGAGAAGAGAATATTAATTTGTTTGAATTTCTATTTTGTATTCGTTGGAGAAGAAGCGTAGGGCAGGAGAGCGTAGGTGTACGACGTGTCTGACTATGTACGGGCCTTTTTCACTTACTCTTATTAAGACGCTGTGCCTTTTTAAGTTTTCACCAGGTTTTCCGTTAAAATACTTAAGTATATCTATTTTATGACGTTATTTTAACAGATGCATTCCTAAGTATTCAACTTTTTACGAGTACGTATTCGGAACTTGTATGCACTTTCGGTATCTGTTCTTTGGTTAACTGCCTGCTATAGATGGTGTCCATTCAGTTGTGACTAGTGGTCACTTTTTTCGAAAAGTGTTTCGCAGACTGTCTAACTACAATAGGTTCTCCTGCGAGCGAGTACTCTTTTGGTTTTAACTAGTTGCTTGGACAATGCCCACTTCGGATCAATGGATGACAAAAATCGGGAATTCTGCTAGCCAAAAAGAGATCCAAGTCTCTCCCGATATAAAAAAGAACCGTATGAAGGAAAAAATTCTGACAACAA